AGCCCCATGATATGGAGATGCTTTGGTACTTGGCAATGACCAGTCAGAATGCCTGTGACTAGGCGCAGATTCTGTCTAGTCATAGTCGGGTATTTGTTTGCTGCAGTGTTGTCAGGATAACTTAAGAGCTTCCTGGCAACTCAGCAGTTTCTTGTTTCATCCCATCTTTCCTTGAATTTCACAAGGGAATGTTCTTTAATTAGGTCTATCACTACCGATTTTGTCAGGTCAATAGAAGGGCCAGGTCCAAAAAGTATTTGGTTGGCTGCTTTCTTGGCTAGTGATCAGCAAGACGGTTACCTTTCGATGTGGCGTGATCTTTAATTCATCTTAAGGTGACCACGTTGTTGATGGATACTTCAGCCAAAGCTTCGTGACATTCTAGTACTAACCCTGAATAAATTCGTGGTCTGTTCAGGGTGAGTAGTACTTGTCTGCTATCTGTATAGATGAGCATGTTTCTTCCAGTGATATTGTTTCTTCTTATTTCTTTTGCTTTTATGAGAATCCCTGTTAGCTTTGTTTGAACTACAGTGGCACTATTGCTCACAGCCAATTGTATGTTTAGGTTTAATAATCTGAAGTATATTCCACATCCTGAGCCTTGTTTTGTTTTAGAACCATCGGTGTAGATATAAATCGTACCTGCCACTTCCGGCTCTTCTATTTGTTCTATTATAACTTTATATGACTTACGAAAGATATATTTCGGTGAGATGGAGTCCATGTTCGCTTGAAGCAGTGGGAGCGTATCCAGCGCCTCCTGCCAAAAGTGACGTCTCACCTCACCAGATCCTACATCAGGTTCTATTCCGACCGTGCGGAGGCGCGTCATTGTCCTCAGAGCAACCCCTTTGATATATCCAAGGGGAGTGAGACTAAGAATGAGTTCCATGATTCTAGTCGGTGTTGTTTTCATGGCTCCTGTTATGTTGAGACATGCTGTTCTTTGAATTTGTTCTAGTTTACGGATAGCTGTTAATTTTTGGGTTTTCGGTACCCAGACAACTGCACGTCCATGCGACGACTCTGGTGGAGAAACCCCTGGTACGCCCCACGGTTCGGTGGCATTATTCATAAGCAATGTATGCACTTTTAACTATGTTTTCTAAATGCGAGTTTCATGTTAACTTGCTGTCAAAGGTGAGACCTAGGTTACTTCACCTCTGTTGCAAAGGTTGGTTTTGTGTTTAGGAGTTCTGGATGTTTTAATTCCATTTTCAACCTTTTCCTTGTGAAAAGGACCATTTCTGTCTTCTTACAATTGATAGTCTTCACTATTTGCCAGTTTAATTATATAGTGTGTTCCATAAAGTTGAATACATACGGAAATTTTTTAAATATTAAAATTGGAAAAAAAACGCCGTATAACATTCTCTTGTACTTTTTTAAAATCTTAAATTAGCCCATATTAAAGTTGACTAGGTACTGAATTAATGATCTGACAAATTCGGTATTTTTTAAAAATCGTTCAATTTTTTTTGATATGGGCTATTTAAGGGGATAAATAAACAGAAATGATTGCCCTATGACGTTTTTTGTTAATAGTAAAATTATCCAATTTTATGGCACACACTGAATGTGGATAGCTAGTAGATCTTCCATTCCTAAATATGAACTTAGTTTTATTTTTGATGTTTCGTCCACTGGCCAGTGAATATTTCTTAATTCCATTCTGCCTGCCATCTTGCCATTGTATTTTCTATTGTCTTTTTTCTATTTATCCTTCATCTTTCCTTGCATCTTATTTTCATCTTTCCTTTCTAGTGCAAAAAGATGTAATGACAATGTTATGTTGGGTATAGGATATTGTTCATAATACAAAAATTACAGAGGTATGATACGTCAAATTTATAAAAACCACGCTTTCCACCACAATACGTCACCGTGACGTACAGTATTAATCTGCCTTCTTTTTTAATCAACTTTAAAAAGAATTAGATTCCTAATTCGTCAGTATATATTTTTTTAATTTATGTTCAGCGATAATTATTTAACACGGTGTCCGGTTTCAACATAAGAAAGGTAAAATATATAACAATATAAATACACTTCTCATTTAGCTTAATTTTTAATACACAAGTCCAGTCCCGGATGTACATTTTTTTATTCTTTATCTTTGTTATTTTATGAAGAAGATAAGATAATTGAAAAAGATGTTCATTTTAACGACTCCTGTACATAGTTAAAAAAGTATCAACTTAATATTCACATTGTATATTACACCAGCCCTGTCTTCGACATATCTCAGTTCATCAAGAAAATAATTAAATCAAATTTAAAAATAGAACACATTCTTTGCAGAGGTGCATATCACGCCACTTGCTATTATAGTTAATCTGTTCTCCTCTAAAGGTAGTTTATCCTCCTCCAATTTGCAATTATTTTAAAACTAAAAAGCTTTTAACCTTGAACGAACTTGAGCAACAACATTTTTCTTCAGTTTTAACCAAAGTTAGCTGTTTAAATTATCCTATATTTGAATAAACTCTCGTCGAGTCTTAACCTACTTAGACCAAAATTACTTTTTAATCTCAGTCTTTGAACTTTTAACATAAATTAGGGAGACCAAGCATTCGTAAATCAAATTATGATTAAATACTAAATTAAAGAGACAAGAGATATGACATACATCGGTGTTTAAACTAACTAAAGTAGGAGAAATGGGAGGAAATCAGAACTTTATGCCAAATTAATAAGTCTGTTTGTGTTTTTATCTGTTTTTCGGTCAGAAAAGTGTGGGGAAGATCGGAAAAATTAATTGTATCCCTTTCACGTTCAACTTGAACATTTTCCCGAAGAGTTATTTTGTGAATGATTCTTACAAAGGCATGAATGTTTTCGACGAAAGTTATACAGTTACACAGGACCGTATTGGATACATTTAGTGATGAGCGAGATTGGTCTTGGTCTTGCGGTCTTGGTCTTGCTTTTTTGCAAGACCAAGACCAAGACCAGCTGAAAGCTTGCAAGACCAAGACCAACACCGAGTGTGCAAGACCAAGACCAAGTGGTGCAATACTTACGCAAGACCAAGACTCTTGCGCAAGACTCTTGCGGTATTGCGTTCTTTAATTGTTGCCTGAAAATAAAAGGTAAGTATATAAACATTCGTTTCGAAAAACCTTGGTTTTCGAAATATGTAAATTAATAAATATACATTTAAAGCCGTTTATTTGTTCAATGCGAGATATTCGCCAACCGTGGATTGCATAAAGCTAGGTTGCCAAATATTATAATTTAAGCGTCCCGTTTAAATGTCCGTATGTTTAAGAAGTTGTTTTGACCCAGTATTTTATGCCAGTATGCTATGCTATACTTTTTATTTTAATCCCATACGTCTGGAAGATCCAGGTTCAATTATCGGTCGCAGTTTTTGTTGATTTAAGGATACAATTTTTGTTTTTTATTGGATTGTTGGATATGCAACAAAAAATATTTCAAATAAAAGAATACACAAAATATGTTAAATTTAAATAAATATCCAATTGTTGGGAATTGAGCCACATATTTTATTTACCGTTTTTTTTTATATACTACGTTTCGAAAAAATTAAGCTTTTATTCTTTTTCCGTATTCAAGTATGCAGCATATAAAAATTACTAATTGACACATTTAAAATTTTAATTTTTAAAACTGTTTACAGCTTTTTACATGCTGTATATTAAGTTTATACTTAAAAATAAAAAAATAATATATTTGGAAACGTTTAATAAAAAAGGTTTGAATAAAAAATATATGTGGTTTATTTACAATTACAAACCACAAGCTTTAGAAGATAACTATATTTACTGTTTGCGTAGTAGTTCCTGATTTTATAATGTACATTAAGCCTCTAATGACAATAATTTATACAGGGTGTTACATTATTAACTACAAATAGAGAACACTCTTTTCGGTGCTGGAAAATGTTGTAAAATACTATAATTCACAGAACAACAACACGTTTTTTGTGTACAAAGTAGCAGTATTTAAAATTTATCAAAAAATGCAAGACTCGCAAGACTCTTGCAGCAAGACCAAGACCTAGCTGTGCAAGACCAAGACCTGCTGAAGGCTTGCAAGACCAAGACCAAGACCGAGTGTGCAAGACCAAGTCTTGTTTTGCTCATCACTAGATACATTTGGGTATAATTTTTTTTTTGAAAAATTGTTTATTTAATAAATTATTTCTGTACACATTTAAAAAAAGTATCAACTTAGGATTCACCCTATACAGAACTTCATAAAACTGGTAAATATAGGATAATACTTCTATTATTAAATGGTTTTTTCTATGCAGCCTTTATAAATGTAAATAACATAGCTAGACCTACTAATATGTATTTCGTATTTATTATGTGTCTGTATTATGTAAATATGTTTCCATGTATTCCAAAAACCCCATAATCAAGAGAAATAAAACCTTATCTACCCAAAATATGTTAGGCTGACGAATTATCAGATAAAATAGCCTACTGATGAGGGTTATTTGAAAATCAACACACTCTCATCAGTGTCGTTGATAAAGCTATTTATGTTTTTCAATTATGTACCCTCTGTTTATTTCTGATGTTAATTATAACAGCAGGCTGCTAAACGATATTTATTATGATAAAAAATATCTTGATTACTTAGAGATATGAATACATTTTAGTAAATGAAAATATTTTTACATTTAATACTATTAGAGATTAAATTATTTCAGAAAATGTTTTTGATGTCATGAATATTTTGAAAATTATCCCTAGCCGCAGGCGACAATAATTTTCTTAAAATTTTTATTATCAATGAATAATTATCTATTTCTTAATTAATTTTAAGTGGTATTTGGTAAGAAAATTATATAAATATTGCAAACATGTTTTTATCAGAGATAGAATACAATTTAATCTATTAAATAATGTTAATTGCAGAAGATAGTACTTTAAACGATTATATTTGTTACCTATTTTATCTCTAATAAAATTAAGTGGTCCCCCAATCTTAATGAACTAACAATTAAACAGAATATAACTCACCGTTTCGGACTTTTCAGACTCAATCCTGCAACACTATTGCTCACGTACTCCTGCAACGTGTTGAGGAAACTCATGGTGCCGATGCCGATTCAAATTCCAACCTGAAACAAACACAATTAAACTGTCAAACTTTACAAACTGTTTAACGTAACTTTAGCCTTTACATTCCCGAAGAAACGGTTACCGGCCCAAATCTCTCAGACAAAAAATTTATTTCAGAGACGAGGTTAGATTTTAAAGGTTTTGTTTAAGAAAGTAAAATTGAGCGACTTTCTATACTATTCGATAAAAAATTCTATAAAAAGTGCAAATATTAGTATTAGCAGAGACAACAGAGGCGGCCCAAGTAGCTTCGAACGGTTTTATTCAGTATTTCAAGGATACTTTAAAACTGTAGAATAAAACTGCAATTAAAACCAATTAGTATTAAAAGAAGCCTTAATGTTGTAATAAATACGCCTTCAGCAAAAAAGGCCCACTCTGAAAGAGGTCATTAAAACCAAACATAAGAACCACCATAAAACTATATTACCTTGAACAACTGATTTTAAAGCTGCTGTGAAGACCCTTTTAAAACCAGTTTAAATACATGCGTTTTAAAGTGGACTTGAAAATGTTAATTATAGGTATACTTTTAAAGATAGTTTTTTAAAACTATATACATAATTCTTTTAGCACATAAAAACAATTTATATTTGAAGATGATAATATGGTGACGCTGTAACCAAAAAGAATATTTTTATGTACCTATATTCGTATCATAGAACTATAAAATAATAAAAAGGTAATGATTTCAGAATGTCAGAGTAGAAATATATACTGCGCACCCGACTTTATCAAAAAACGGTAATAAAAAGTCTTAAAAAACTTAAAAGTTTTATAATAAAAAAATAAAAAAATTGAAAATTAAAAATTGAAAAAACATAAATTTAAAAGAAAAATAATTTTATCTATTATTTTGAAAATATCTGTATCTGTAATCGAAATTATACGTTTAAGTGGTTAACTTTTTTCTATCATGGCTTCCACCGTCTCGAGAAAGTAAAATGGTCGGAATTTAAATAAAACCATTTAGTTAATGGACAAGGAAACGTTAAGATCACATACGTTTAAGAGCACATACCCTAGACAAAAGCAAGGTTCGCTCGTGATTTAAACGGTTTAGTTTTAATGCGGCTGTGATAAATGCCGCTCGGTTTTAATGTAAACCTAATATTAAAATTTCCGTATCGTATCAGTTGTTTATGTTTTGTGTATTTTAAAAAAAATATTAATATATTGTTTTCAGTTTTTCTAATTATTGTAGGTACACCGCTGTTTGACATGATACAAAATGCGGGGTTCATTTGGGCCACGTAAGAAGAGGGGACGAGTTTAGTTTTATTATTTCTAACAAGAAGTACAGTTAGTCTTTACGATAAACAAATTGATTTTGTTAAGACTGTTTCCTTTTAATATAGCTTCCTAATTGCATTTAAGAAAGCCGTTTTAGGGTAAAGTAATAGTTTTAAAACGCAATATTTACTGACCAAATTGTCCTAAGATCAAGCAGCTTTTATTAGTTACATTATGAATCTCTTTAAAACTGCTTAAAAACTATAACGTCACAATCTAGAATACTTTAAAACTAGTATTAAATGCTAAACAGTTTTAATTTTCTATCTTTGCTATTTTTCTTCCGTCATAATGCAATGCCTGTTGCGGTATTAGCCAAACTAGTATATGTTTTTTCATTTCCTTTATTTTTATTTATAAATAAGTCATATTTGAGTATTGGAATTTTTTTCTTTAATTCAAAATAAGTACGAACAATTCATAAAATAAGTAAATCAATTTGAAAAAATACACAGAACAGAACCTAATCCCTTTAGAAAAAAAAAAACAAAACTTTTACTCTTTTTGAGAACTAATCTTGTGGTTTATAAAAAATCATTATAGAGAAAAGGGCGTCAAAAATTCTTTTATTAAGATGTGTAACCCGATTATTGTTTGGAACTTTTTAACTTTTTTATGAGGTTAATAAGTTTTTGGGCGTATACCAATTTCTTTTAGCAAAGATGAGGAAGAGAAAATTAATCAGAGATAGATTGCTTATTTTTTAGGCAGCGTAACAGTAGTTGCTCGATTTTTTTTGTTTAGTAACATTTAAGATAACATAAATATAATATCAAGGTAAATGTGTGTAATAATATTAATAATAAAAGTGGTTTTTATTTTAACATAAAAGATAGAAACATTGTTTTTTTTTATTTATGACCCAATGACTCAAGATAAGGCGAAAGAACCAAACATCTTTCCCATGTAAAAATAGTTTTCCGTCAAATTTTCTCATATATTCATATGTTGTAGAACTAGATTCTCTGACAAAAAGTGTACATTGGCACAAACCGATCTTTGGACTAGTTCGATAAACATTGAAAATGCCACTTTTTTTGTAACCAGACCTGTTTTATTTGCGTTTGTTATAGAAAACATGAATTACCGATTATTAGGCATTCATAAAGTTAAAAACATCTAACTAAAATATTAGTAGTGGCTATTTGAATTAAGAGAATAGTTACAAACTTTCTTACAGATATTTATATTAATCTGAAAGATTGTTTGTGTGATAGAACTTGATTTTGTAATATATCTTTTATGGCAGATATGTTTCAAACACTGAACGAACTAAGTCTGTCATTACAAGGTATAAAGACAACAGTGTTTAACGCTAGTAACAAAATAAGCGCTTACAGATTTTTCGCTTTCCAAGAGGGTTCTGTCGCCAAAAAAGTATGAAAACCGCTGCTTTAGAGGGTTTAATATTATCAAAATTTTCTTGTTACTTAATTAAAAATGAATCTGTATCAAAAGTTTCGCTATTATGGATGAAAAATTCACCTGGTAATCTTAGTGTTTGTCCATAAACTAATTCAGCGAAAGAACAATTCACCTCCACCGCAGTTCTCAAACCTAATAGAATTAGTGGTAACTCGTCTTTCCAGTTATTATTATAAAGTTTAGCCATAACAGATGCTTTCAATGTCTTATGGAAACGTTCTATCAAACCGTTAGATTTCAAATGATAACTATTGTTATGGAAATTTTTTAAACCTAATTTTTTGCTAAATTCTTTAAATAAATATGACTTGAATTGGCTACCTTGTATGATGCTATGAGTTACACCAAATCGAGCTATATAATTGTTTATTAAAGTTTTTATAATTACTTATGCGGTAATTATTGCTAATGGATAAGCTTCTATCCACCTGGTGTATGTGTCTATAATTGTTAATAGATATGAAAGGTTTAAGAGGTCCAACAATATCTATATACATATGTTGGAACCTACCTTTCGGAATTGAATAATCACTTGGGGCTGATTTTGTATGTCTTGACATCTTAGCTTTTTGGCAATTGATGCCAGACTTTGACTCGAAATATATATTCTTACTCATTCTAGGCTAAAAATATCTATTTTTAAATTACTGTTACCTCCTGTATGTGCCACAATGTGTAAATTGTGAACTTGATTTTATTGGAGATAATTGGTAAAATTATTATCTCGAATATTTCCGATTCTTGTAAAGCTATTAAACGGTTTTTGGCACTTTAGTCGATGACCTTAGATGACCTGGTAATTGTGACCTCTTCAACTTTAGTAGCTTATTCCTAATTTACCATAAATTTTGAAAATTTAAATACTTTCTAAATAACTATTCTGTACAATCTAGGAGAGACTAACTAAATATTAAATAAATACTAAATAAACACCCTTAAGAACGAACTTGGGGAGAACACAATCACAGGGAAGGAAACAGTAAGGGAACTCTTCAGGGTTCACTTCCCTGGTGCACAAACCATAGCACACACACCGGCTAACCGAAATCTAAACGGACTGGAAGCTCATAATAGAGCCAACAGGGAAGATTGGAGGATAGCCAAACAAGTGGTGAACTATGATAAACTGAAATGGGCAATTAGCTCATTTGAATCATATAAATCACCGGGCATGGACGGGATTTATCCAATAATGTTACAAAGAGGTCCTGATATTTTATACAGCAGACTCTGTAACATACTCAGAAATAGCCTGGCCTTTGGACACATACCAAAAGCTTGGAGAAATATTAGGGTAACTTTTATACCAAAACCTGGGAAAATGGGTCAGGAAACGGCAAAGTCCTTTGTACTCAAGACTTTGGAAAAACTGCTAGATAGGCATAATAGAGACGGGATATTGGTTCAAAGGCCAATATACCAAGACCAATACGCCTATAGTGCAGGGAAATCAACTGAAACAGCTCTCCATCAACTAATAAAAAGGGTGGAGAACAAACTGGAAAACAAGGAGGTAATGCTGGGAGCATTCTTGGATATCGAGGGTGCATTTGACAATACCTCCGTTGAATCGATCATTAGATCTCTCAAACACAGAGGAATCGAGGACACATGCGTGTCCTAGATCGACTCTATGTTAAGGGAGAGAACTATACACACAACCCTTATGGGAGAGACAACAGCGGCACGGGTAGCGAGAGGATGTCCACAGGGTGGAGTGCTGTCTCCACTCCTGTGGAACCTTGTAGTGGACGGGCTGCTTAGGGCTCTCAAAGATAAGGGACATAGAACTCTGGGATATGCCGATGATCTAGTAATCATGGCACAGAGAAAATACAACACTATAGTAAGAGATCGAATGCAAGAGGCTCTAAATATAGTAACAAAATGGACAGAGGCGGAAGGACTAAACATTAGCCCAAACAAATCTGACATAATTGCATTCACCCGCAGGAGGAAATTGGAGGGACTAGGGCCTCTAAACCTAAGAGGTGCAAGTATCCAGCTTAAGGGGGAGGTAAAATATCTCGGGGTTATTATTGACTCGAGACTTACCTGGAACCAGCATCTAGAAAGAACCACAAGGAGAGCGGAAACCTCATTAATGATGGCAAGGCGATCCTTTGGAAAAAAATGGGGGTTAAAACCAGACATGGTATATTGGATTTATAACATGGTGGTAAGACCCATAATAACATACGCAGCTTTGGTGTGGTGGCCAAAGACACAGCAAAGGAAAGCAATAACGAGGATT